AGTTTTCCCAAATATGTATACGAATTTAATGCGTTGTACCACGTCTGTTTATAATTCCAGTCTTGTTTTTCTTTACCATTTGTGAATTTTAAACATTGAAATGACTTCGTCTGAGGGGGGGAACCGAACTGAACTCTGGCTCAAGTGTCGGAGTGAGTGGTGGGGTCATACAAATACAGCCATATCCGGTTGAAGTGGTCAGTATTTTTGACCCAGTCGGTGGTCACGTGCCACAAAAAATGAAGGGAAAAATTTGGAACGGTGAATACATTGATTTGTGGCTGCTAGTAAAAACCGGGAATGAATTGGTAAAGCACGCGTCTGATTTTGATGGTGATTTGGTGGTAAAAGATGGTTGTTTACCCGATGTCAAACAAAAAGGCAAACTCATAACTAATATTTATGTCTGGACAAAAGCCTTTATGTTCTTTATGAGCATTGTGGCAAATGGCAGTACCCATCGGGTGCAAAGTGTACCAAATAGATTAAAATCTGAGGGCGATTTACATGTATTGTCTCCTTTTATTATTTTGGCTCTGAGAAATCATCCTTTACAAGACATTGCACAGGAGGTAGTCGGGGGATTTAAATTTGGTTTCAAACTCCAGTATAGTGGCCCGCAGGTCCCAATTTTTTCTTTCTAACAATCTTAAAAGTGTCAAGGAGGCCCCGGAAGTGCTGAGAGGGAACTTCAAAAGAATTATCTCTAGAGCGTATAGCTGGGCCATTTCACTCCCCGCCATTCCCAACATCCCGTATTTCTCTCTTGGGTCTGGTTCATGAAAAGGATAATGATTTTAGGGTCATTCATCACCTGTCGCATCCTGCTGTAAGGTCGGTGAACGACTTTATTGATAGTGAACTTTGTTCCGTGCATTACACCACGATTGTTGATGCGGTTGGCATGATACAGAGACTGGGGCGGGGTGCTTTATTAGCCAAGTCAGATATCAAGTCTGTCTTTAGGCTACTACCCATTTGGCCGGCGGATTTTGACCATTTAGGTTTTTGTTTTGATGATAATTTCTACTTTGACAAATACCTCTCTATGGGAGCCTCAATTAGTTGTGCTTTGTTTGAGAAATTTGCCGCAGCCCTTCATTGGTTTAGTACTTCGAGGAGTCATGATTCCAATCTTTTGCATTACTTAGATGACTTCTTAATGGATGGGGATAACAATTCAGAACAGTGTGCTCAATTTTTGAAAACATTTCAAGACTCTTGTGCGTTATGGGGTGTTCCCTTGGCACAGGAAAAACTGGGCCCAACACAGGTACTCACATTTTTGGGTATTGAGTTTGATACTATTCTACTGCAACTGCGGCTCCCTGCTGATAAACTAAATCAATTAAGGGCTGATTTGGTCAATGTAATGGGTAAGGTGAAAGTTACCTTTAGGGACTTGCAGTCTTTAATCGGATAATTGAATTTTGCTTGCCAAGTGGTGGCCCCTGACAGGCTTTTTCCCCGCAGACTAATCGACGCAACAATTTCGGTAAACTCATCACAAGATTAGGGTTACGCGAGACGCGAGAGATGCGTGAGGATCTCAGGTTGTGGCAAGTATTCCTGTCAGATTATAATGAGTTACCTTGATGCTTGATCGTTTCTGGACATCGAACACGACATTACAGATGTATACCGATAACGCTGGGGGTCTACACGGGGGTTTCGGCGCATATTTCCAAGGTCACTGGGCACAGGGGTGTTGGCCCAGAGAATTGGACATTTATCAGGGTATTTAAACTGATATTACATTCCTGGAATTATTCCCAGTTGTTGTTGAACTCAATTTATGGGGTCATTTTCTGGGAAATAGGAAAATTTTATTTCATGTAGACAATCAGGCTTTTGTCGTTATTGTAAACAAAAAATCGTCTAAATCTCTTCGGTTCTAGTAAGGAAATTGGTCTTAATGTCTCTAAAACTCAATATTTTAATGAAAGCTGAGCACATTCCTGGTAGAGATAATGTAATCGCTGACTCTCTTTCCCGTTGTGATTGGCAGCGCTTCAGAAGAGTGGGTCCCACAGCGGACTAGCATCCAACACCAATACAAGACCATCTATGGGCGATCTAGAGCGTAGATAAGGAGCTTCATCTTTATCAAAAAGATGGAGTCCATCTGTCTGGACTTGGCAACCAGATATGGACTAAGACCACAATTAATTTTACTATATGTTTCATCGTAACATTTAATTTCTGTAAAGTGATTTATGAAGTAGAATAATATCTCCACTTATTCAAATAAAGTGTTTACATTATAATCTTCAACTTATTTTTATTTAAGAATTTAAATTTAATTTTTTGCTTTAAACCAATACATCTTTCATTAAATGAATATTTAAACAGTGCCAAAACCATCATTCAGTCTCCATATCTACACAAAATACTCTAGAGACAATTACAATTATCATAGAGATAACTTGCACGCATGGACGCACCCACAGCCACCTGCATACACACACAAAGACAGATAGCCAGTGCCAAAGGCAGGGGTTTGTGTGAAAGGGACCCATCTCTTTGATGTTAAGGCTCTCCTGTTTTCTAAATCATCATCTTTAAAGTTGATAACAAACAAACTACACGAGAATGAGTAGACAAGTGGTCAGCACCACTCTGATTTTTGATTCTCAACACAACTTACCACTGACCACCACTACTACTATTACTACTATGAAGGGAGATGCTAAGAGGAGGAAAAATCATTTTCAACCTGGAAATATTCCAAGAATAAGGGCCAGACACTTAGAAGATCAAGCTGGACACCCAAATGACCAGGCTGTATTTACCAGAAGGCTAACTACAGAGGAGTTCAGGCTGGTGACCAAACCTTGTCATGATGGTCGATCACTTATAGCCTCGGACACTGAAGACAGACCATGTCCAGCTCGGATACTTCGTCAATCAACAGTTTCTCATGAAGACTCAGACTCTGAACCGGACAATATCGAGGGAAACAGAATTATTGATGTGCTCTTAATGGTAAAGATGTGGAATTCTGTATTCAGACTCCATGCAGAAAAACACTACGAGACAGGCAAAATTCCAGAGTTTGAACTTGACACCGAATGGAAACGGGCCCTGGGATGGAGTTGTTCCGTGCGGTGTGCTAAGTGCAGCTACCGGTCTCCACTGCACAGGCTCTACAGAGAAGCGGACACAAATAAGCCCAGACCAAAGCCAGCACTTGTGAACAGGTACCTATCATCAGCTCTGTGTGGCCAGTCTGTCAGCACCAAAGGAGCCAGACTGCTTCTCGGACACCTCAACATACCTGCCGGAGCAAAAAGTGGGATGCAGCAACAAGCTAACCTGGTGTCCAAGGAGACAACAGCACTCAACAAAATAGACATGGCCGAGAAGACCAGACAGTTAGTGGAGGTTAACCACCTGAGAGGGGATGTTAATCCGAGCACTATCGGAATAGCACTGGACGGGCGATAAACAGCACATCATTTGGAAGTGCTAAAAAAACCTGGCATTAATGCCTCACAGGGAATGAGTCTGGGCATTGAGACATCAACTCCTAAGAAGTGGATAGTAGCACGCACACTTCAGAACAAGCTGTGCTGGACTGGTGCTTGGCTGAGGGGAAAAGGATATGATGTCAACTGTCCTGGAGGCCACCCTGACTGCACAGCCAAAACTGACCGATACGACGGCCTGTCAGAGCATGCCATGGGAAAAAACATTGGAGATCAGCTGACCAGTCAAGGTATTTCGGTCAAGTACGCCACGACTGACGGGGACGGTACTGGAGCCAAACGCATTGAGGAGGCCATGCAAGCCCTAGATCACATGTGGAAGGTGGAGAGACTGGAGAGAAACGGACCTATCAATGTGTCCTTGCCAAATTACCAGAATTTCGGAGGAAATGCTGAGGGACGGTTGGACAGCACAATTTTAACCATAAATAATACCGCGGGCAAGGCCACTCAGCAGAAAGTACAACATCTTGGTGGAACTCTGAGTAAGGAGGTTCGACATCAGCTGGACCAAATAAGCTCAGAGGAAATTTATCAGCGCCAGCGTCAGTACAAACCTGATGTCAAGAGGAGAAATCTTGAGTTGTTGGTGGAACAGCACAGGGAACACGCAAACAGGTCAAAGTCTGCCAGGAAGTCTGACTACAGGAAAAGTCAACTTGATCCAACACTGCATCGAACCAGGGGAGACAATCAACCTCATGACCACCTGTATTGAGAGAAAAATGACATTTTATTTGAGGAGACTTTTTTTTGAAATCAAAGACAAAGTTCCAAATTCAAGAAATATGTAACAAAATAAGATAAAAGTTACATATATATGACTACCTAAAGAGGGAACCTCCACGTGGTGGTAGTTGGAAAATGTTGTATCTGTGTATACAATAGCTAATACCCTCAAAAATACTTGTTTTTTTTTTTTTCAATCAAGCCGCTTTCAATTCAAAGAATTCCCCCATTTATCTTTTAAAAATCCGGTATGAATACATAAAAACACATAATATGCAAATTTAAGTGTCTTTAGTGACCCCCTCAAGCGGCGGATGGCTGACAGGCTAATTCCAAAGGTTGAGATTTCTTTATCATATATCAGCTCATATATGGGAAGTACACCTACACTGTGGTACCACAGGTTAGGCAATGGTAGACCATCTCATGTAAACCGGAATGGTCAGTTCTTTACTGTATACCAGTTTGAGCTATTTTGTTCCAAGAAAAAACCGGGGACAGGTGTTTTAAATATGGGTAATAATATACCAATTATAATATATGGGCTCGTGTATTGTAGAAATCACACCTAGTTTACTCTATTGGTGGGTTTACATAGAGAAAAAGAGACTGGCAGTGTTACCACTGGGTCACTAACATGGGGGGGGGGGGCCTTTATATAATCTGTGAATTTGTAGGATTTGGTGAATCGTAACTGTGGCCAGTAATTCTCCAAGTCTACAGTGTAATTTGGTGTTTGTGTTATTTTGTTATGAATCTTTAACTAAAACTAAAAATAAGCCGCTAGCTATTTTCGGGATTTGAGGGAATTTCATGGAAACCGTCAAAGAAAAAATCCAGCAACTGCAGCATATAAATACAGATGATATCGTAGATGAACATTCATGATATTGGTATCAAAAAGTAGATAAGAATATTTGTACTTTTGGCTGTGTCGTATTTTGTGTTTAGTATCACAATACACAATATCTTGTCCAGTTGCCATGTACAGATTATAATGTGCTTGCTACTATAAGTATACATGATTGTAAACTTTAAATTCAACCGTTCAAGCCCTGAGAGTAATTGCCAATAAAAAAATACCTTTACAAGTTATTGGTTAATTCATTTGTACTCTCTTTTCTCAGCGCAAAATATAATAAACACGTATGTCATTTCCTTGCGGTATCTCATTATAATACCATTAATTGTGTCACACATTCATATATATAATAAACAATACCAAGACAAAGAAAACATCTACATACAATACATTGCAAAAATCATTTTGCATTCAGGCTGGGTTTGATGACTTTTATAAACATATTTTCTTTAATTTCTCTTGCAACTACATCGTCGCTATTCAGTTTGTAAATAGGTAACTATTTTTTNTATCTCATTATAATACCATTAATTGTGTCACACATTCATATATATATATATATAGAATAAAAACAATTTTTTTCAGATCGTCCGCTAGGCCTTTCTGCCTTCTAGGGCTTCTTCAGGCGGATTGATGT